AGTTGTTTACTGATATGATTGACTATGTATTTTCTTTTCTTAAAAATTTATTTATTTTAGATTGAGAGAGAGAGATTGGGGAGAACGGTAGAGGGAGAGGGAGACAGAACTTTGAGCCAAGTCCCTGCTCAGCGTGGAGCCTGACACAGGGCTCAGTCCCAGGACTCTGAAATCATGACCTGAGCTGAAACCAGGAGACGGATGCTCAACTGACTGAGACACTCAGGTGCCACACAACTATATATTGTCATGTGTTTATTAGTTTTCTGAAATGTAATTGTTACTTAGATATAATTTCAAATATATGGAAAAGTTTCAAAACTGTGTAAAGAACTCTCAGAGACCTTTACCCAGATTCCCATGTTACTATTTTAACCCATTTTCAATGTCATTCTCTTTCTTCATATGTATGTATAGAATAATATATGTATATAGACACATATGTGTCTATAATTTTTTTCTGAATTATTTCAGTATTATTTGCAGTCTTCATAATCCTTTATTCCTAAATACTCCTGTAAGATCTATGGAAATCTACCTGCCCTCTGGCAGTAGATGTGAGTCCGATCAGCAATCTGACAAATAGAATACCAACTAAATAACTCTGCTATTGAGGGACAATTTTAACTTTAAAAAGGGCCACCAGTAAATGGAGAATGAGTAATATGCTAGAAACAAAAATTTCACAAACCTTGATGAACATACTGAGTCAGGCAAAAATTTACAATTGATGTCAAAATTGTCAGATATATGACTGATGAAGAACTGGGGATATTTGATATTCCTAAGAACCCACACAGAATACATTCAGAAAATTCATAATTTAAGCAGGGGGGTCAAATTTAGACTCATGGATGGTGGGATCAGTTGAATACTGGGCATAGCACAATACCTAGTCTACCTAAAAAATTTTAAGTTGCATGTTTTATCATCAAGCTTTAAGATATGACTTATACTTAATATGAAATGAAGAAAATAAATTAAAAAATAAAATATATCACAATAAAGTAACCAGCAACTCCCAAAAGTGGGACGCTTGGGCCTGGCCATTTCTTTTTCTTTTTTCTTTCCTTTTTTTTTTTTTTTTTAATTAAAAAAAAATTTTTTTTTTCAGTGTTCCAAGACTCATTGTTTATGTACCACACCCAGTGCTCCATGTAGGGCCTGGTCATTTCAACAAAACTAAAGAAAGATTCAGTTACGAAGACTGGGTAGCACATAAGGGACGTAATCATTTGCAGTGAGTGCATGGTGAAGACTAGCAATGGGTTCACGAATATTAGAAAGGATATTTTGGGGGTCAGTTTTGAAAATCTGAATAATTATTGGTGTTACATTAGATGAGTATAATTGTGGTGAAAATTCTTGATTAAAAGAAGTGGGTCACAGAACACTATGAAAATATGATGCCACTGTGGTTTATGCACATAACACACACACACACAAAGATTTGAAAGGATAAGCATTAAGATATTAACAGTGGTTGTTGCTGTACAGTGAGTATATATAGTACTTACTTCTAAATGTTTGCTGCGCTCTGTTTTCTAGTTTTCTGTAATGCAAAACTATTGTTCCTATAATCCTATAATCATTATTTGTATATGACTAGACAGAAAGTCAAATCTAAATAACAGTTAAAAAATTCCACCTTGGGACACCTGGGTGGCTCTGTCGGTTAAGCCATTGCCACGGCTCAGGTCATGATCCCAGGGTTCTGGGATTGAGTCCTGCATCAGGCTCCTTGCTCAGCAGGGAGCCTGCTTCTCTCTCTGCCTCTACCTGCCACTCTGCCTGCTTGTGCTCTCTCTCTCTCTCTCTCTATGACAAATAAATAAATAAAATCTTAAAAAAAAAAAAAAAATCCCACCCTGAACTTTTCTAATGAGATTTTAGCTTGTGTTAATGGGTTCAGAGAATTGGAAAGAGGAAAAACTACCCATTTGATAGTATTAAAATAATACAAACTTCATGGCAAAATAAGTTAAAGACAACAAAAAGAAAAAAAAAAAGAAGTTGCAGTTTGAACAAGCAGATCTGGTAGATTTTAGGATGGGTAAGGTGAAAGAGCTAATAGGAGGGGTTTGGTTTGGGGAGCTGTCTTAAAGAGTATACATGTTGTGGAGTTGTGTGTCTAAGAAAGACTTTTGGAAGGGATGATGTTTGCAGTGAGGTATAAATCTCTCCTGAGAATCCTTGAGTTTTTTAGTACAGACTAATATTGTTTTTCAATGATTCTGCAACAAATGTGTGTGTGAGTGTTGTTACACAATGATTCTGGAGCAAATGTGTACATGAGTGTGCGTGTGTGTGTGTGTGTGTGTGTGTATAAGTAGTAGAGAAACACTGGCCGCAAAATATGCAGAGTGAGGCCTGAGATGGAAAAGACAGAGATTCATGGTCTACAAAATAAAACAGTTATGTTACTATATTTCTGAGGTGGGAAATTGTAACCTTTTGCTTTCTTCATTTCCATAATTTGAAAATGTTTCCAATTTGCATGTAACATGTTTAAATAAAAAATAAGCTTCATAGAAATTAATTGTAATCATTATAAGAGCACATTTTGGAATCATTCAGTGACTTCTGAGATAAGAGTTAAAAAAGAGCTACTGCTGACACCTTCCCTGGCAGAATCTTGCCTTCATTCCCAGGATCATCCCTCCTCAGCTCTCCCCACCGCCGCTTAGAAGTCTGTTGTATCTTCTTTTTTTTCCCTTCATCTGTTTTGCAGTATTTCCAGATACTTCCGTCTACTTTTTAGAAACAAAAACAAAAACAAAACAAAACTTTATGTTTATCACCTCAGGATGACTTTTCAAATACCAGCACTTAAATCTCATTTTTGGAGAGAGTAGGGAGAAAGAGAGGCAAAAGCCACAATGTAGACAACTGAGATTCACGTTTGTTGTGCAACCAGAGTACAGATGGGATGCCAAGATAGCCTGACATTTAGCAAAGTGCCGGATCGCTGGGACATTATTGCAGTTACTAAATATAATCAGACAAATAATAATTAAACTTACCATGTCCTAGTACCATCTGGATCTTAATATTGTTTTTCAGTCTGTTCATATCTGATGATCACATTCACAGAATAATTTGACCACATAAAGAAATTTTATTCAGAGTATATTCTTAAATATGGAGAAGCTTATTTTGGCCATGAAAGACTTAAAATAATTTGCTGCTTCCAAGCAATGGTTCTACCTTTGATTTCTTCTCTAAACCCATCAGGTGGCACTTTAGTTCTTCTCTGTGCAATCATTTCTCTGATGTCAAATGTCTGGCTCTGTTTAAATAATCCACATGACATAAAACATAAATTAGTGCTGCTAACCCCAAGAAACACAATATGAAAGGCAACCTATTTCTAACCTTACAAAGTATTCTGCCATAAACAGATTAAAGATACCTAACTTATTTTTATTCAGTAATTATTAAACTTAAGGACGTAAAAGTTTATGTAAATCTGTATCACTAGGCATAGAAAAGGTTCAAAGAGCCCTCAGTGGAGACTATGTGCTTCTGTTTTATCTATTTTGTTCGATTTTGGGGAAAATCACATGAAATGATGCATGGAGAGTGTGTAATAAATTATCATATTGTTACATAGCTATATTTTATAGTTTATAAATGTACATAACCAGAAAATATTTTTATTTTTATTGCTAATCATACTCCGTTTCCCAAAGCACAATAAAATTGTACTGCCAATAATGATTAGAGCCACTCTTCACACTTGGTCTTACAAAAGTGAGAAATGCCCTGCTTCTGTTATAATACCTGTCGGTGAAGGATTTCTGGAAGTAGCAATGTCCACATACAGGAGAAAACACAACCACAATTAAGGGCAGTTACCACGATCTTGAGGAGGGGTGGCCATATCACAAGAATATATTACTTTTGGAGCAAGGATGTGAAAATTGAAGGATGGGTACTTAGTCTCTTTCTTTTTCTCTTCCCTTTGATATCACTCAAATAAACAGTCATTTTGAAGTGAATATTGTAGTCATTGATTACTTCAGTTAAAACATCTGAACAGGACAACGTAAGTGGTTAGAGGAAAAAAGAGAGGGCATGCTTTTAGAGTAAATACCTTACCATAGTTTCCTTCCTTCCTTCCTTCCTTCCTTCCTTCCTTCCTTCCTTCCTTCCTTCCTTCCTTTCTTCCTTCCTTTCTGTTATTTGTTTGCTTGTTTATTTTGGCAGTTTGCAAGTCATTTTTTTCAGAATTTTGTGTTTTGGCTCCTGAATCAATAAATACTATACAAAACAATGTAAAAATGGCTACCATTTTCCCTCCCCTGATTCCCCCACCTGGGGACAATCCCCTGGGCCATTTAACTCAGGGATTCTCCAGATTTGGTCCAGCAAATGAGGTTGAGTGACACTATGGCCCCTTGAATCCTCAGAAGTGTTCAGCTGGGGTGGGGGAGAGCCTCAGGAATCTGGAGGTTGACTGGGTTATGAAGATGGATTAACGTTTTTAGGAGAAGAGAGGATGCCTGGAGCAAGAGAATGCCCCAAAGAAAAGGGGGCCTAAAGTGTTCAAGGTTCCTTCTTTTGCCTCAAAAAGTGACATTTATTCAAAGAAAAAAATAATGACAAGATGTCCATCCCTTGGCTCCCTTCCTTCCCCCCTCCTGCTCCTCTTCAGCCTCCCAGACTGAAACCTGGGTGGGGCTAGGTAGCAGAACATCCCCTCAGATGAAGTCAGTAACACTGAGGGGCATCTCCTCAGTGGAGGCGTTGTAGAAGGTCTCAGTGTCTTGAAGAGTACTCTTGTCTTCCTCTGTCACCATGGTGATAGCCACACGCTTATGGCCAAATCGTCCACCACGGCCGATTCTGTGGATATGGTTTTCCCTGTTGGTTGGAAGGTCATAGTTGATGACTAAAGATACCTGTTGCTCATCAATGCCTCTGGCCTAGGTCGGGGGAGAGGACACGTCAGCATGAGAGCAAGGAAGGGACACAATCAATCCAGAATGTACTGGAGTGAGTGTAGGCAGCCAAAGGAAGGCAAAGGAAACAAACATGCCCTCTCCCCCAGCAACCTCAGGCATGTCAGATTTTTTCCCAAGTTGCTACTTTCCTGAAGAGGGGCATGGTCAGGCCACCTGGAGAGGGAATCAGCTTGGATTTACATAGTTTCTTAAGCTAATCTTCTTGTGGCACCCTCTTGTATTTGAGTTAATAAAATGGACATAATTTTATCTTTGTATTCTGAGCACCTTGCAAATTCCTTGGCATACAGTAAATAGCATATAAAAATTTGGTAGTTGTTTGAATGTACAAATGAATGTATAAAACATATACAACAATTTACTCAAAACTGTTTAAATGTACAGTGTGCCTATTTCTCTAAGAATTTCATTGTTAGAAAGAGAAACTACATTTTTTTTTTTTTAATAACAAATGTTTCCTAGCACGGAGGATACCTTTAAAACCTTCAACTGTTCCTGGTGGTTATCTACTACAGGAATTTGTCAGTATCTTTCCTGAGGTGTTTTATGAACACCTTCTATTCCAGCTGGATACATTCAATGCAGCAATTTATTTGAAGGTCAGTTGGGTGTCTTTTGTCTAAGGAGTGCAATAGGATATTTGGAAGATCAAATTCAACATGTTCAGGAACTAGTCAGGTATATTCCTGAGGAGGTAGGAATGCCGATTATGGTATTATGAAACATAATTGCAAAGAGAAACTTCGTGGAATGTGTAGGTACAATGTAATTATCACTGAAATCCACACCTTACTATTATTGCTTTGTGGAAGATTTGTGTAAAATTTCACTATCCCGAACTTAACAATAGTTGATTATTTGTGATGTTCTGAAAACAAGCCATTAGTAGTATTTTGAAAACATTTTGATAAGAACTGATGTTTTTACTTGAATGTTACAATATTTAATGGAACCCCATTTCCATGAATTGCAGACTTCTGTTACATTACAGGAGTGTCTGGTACACTTCTGGTATATGCCTGTTTTCCCTGCTTGCTGCTTTTTACTTTCAGATGTTTAAAAACAAATAATATAGGCCCCTACTGATAGATAAAAAAGAGTCAATGAGAAATAGTAAACATAACTAAGTGGTAAGAACGTAGAATAGTAATAAGAACTTAGAACTAAGTAATAAGAACTTTGAGTTTTCAGTACCATTTTTTTATGTAGTGATCTAGATGTTAATAAGTTTTAAATATTCAGTCCCAAGTAAAGAACAGTATCCTTTCTTAGAGATTACTCTATATACAAAGCAAGATCTTCAAAATCTCATTGGAATGATTACTTTTCATCGTATTTTCTGCAATGCATTGCCAAGTCATTTCTTCACTTGGTAGGATAAGCCTGGCATACCAAGGATTTATTGACTGCATAGTCTGGACAGTGACATTGTGATGAACACAAACCTTGCTTCTTGCCACTCACACTTCACTTACTGTGTTGCAGCTGTGCTTAGCAACAAAATGCCAGATGGCACAGAGACATCAATTGATTAGTACTCAAGAACAATGTCACCTACCAGAACGGACTACAGACAAATCAACAAAGACAATGCTATGTTTGCAGGCCTGAATGGAGAAGCTCTTTAAGTAGATTTATGGCTGCATTTTTTCAATGTGTGATGTCTGGAATTTTTTGTTTGTAGGCTAAAGCTACAGTCTAAATTATATAACCATGCATGTTTTCCTGGAACTTTTTTTTTTTTTAGTGCTTAATCCTCTTGTCTACACATCTAGAAGGATAATATAACCTAGTAAAGTTCTTCATTGTCACGACTGCAAGTCCCAAATTATTCAAAGTCTTCTTCAAACACATTCTTACTCACCTTTTTGTGATGATCAGTTAACAATGTAAACTGAGAAGAGACAATAAAAGTATTGCCTGAAAAATTCTGGAGTTCACAAACTTTTCAGCATGAGTTATTTGTCCACAAATATTGTCTTTTATAAGTAAGCCTTATTTTTATGGAGGCATTTATTATATTTGGCATCATTTTATAAAACATATCTTGAATTGTTTCCACTCAAACTTTGGCTATTAGCTATATCTGATGGCCTTAGAGTGGATGCCAATATTTGAAAAACACATGTCAGTTTTCTCACCTTAGCTTTAATAAAAAAGCCATATTGACTTTTCAAAAAAATATTCCTGGGAAACTTCTTGATTATTGCAGCTTCTTAAACTTATTTTAAGAGATATTAGTAAGATAGTGAAAATTCTACTTCAACAAATACAATTAATTGCTGTTTTTTTAAAATGCATGGATTGCCTGTAACTTTTTTTTTTTTTTTTTTTTTTTTTTTTTTGTGCATTTACTTAAGTGCAAATATAATACCACTTTGGGCATAGAATTGATCTATTTATCTGAGATGTTACCAAAATGCCTCACTTGTAGCCAGGGAAAGATTTACTTGGAAGTTCTAAGAAGATTATTGGGAAAAAGCCATGAATCCTGACTCTTTCTGTGTTTTAACTCTGAAGATAAGATTTTATTATCTGTAACTGAGCTCTGCTCTCTTAGATATATATTCCTGCTGATGGTGTTGACAGATGAGTGGACCTTACATTGGCTTATTAAGTATAATTTGATCTCTTTTGGTTTAAAGAAGTTGCTTTCCTTTAAATATTCTGTCTATAAATAGTTTAAGCATACTATCAGGGCTATTTCCCCATTCAAAAGGTCTCTTCAGACCCTGACTTTCTGTTTTGATACCTTAGTTCAAAGCGAAGCTTTCTATTCTCAGCAGAAAGCATTGTCTGTACACACATCCCTGCCTGACCTGGCCCTGACAGTCACTCTTGAACTGATGGCTGCTCAGGTCCACCTGGTTTAGCCTGGTTTTTGGCCATCAGGCTGATGATTCTCACTGACGATGACTGCTCAGCTCTCCACAGCCTCCCATCTCAAAGTTTCGAATTCTGCTGCTCCCTATTCCGACTTTGGGCACCTTGCTGGTCAGGAGTTCTCAGAGTTACCTCATGTGCGCATGCCCAGAGAGTGACTAAAGTGTTCTGTAGCTCTTGCCTGCTTCAAGAAAGCTCCGAGTTAGATCACTGTGGCACCATCTCCAGCTTTCCTTCTTCCTACGAATTGTGGAGCTGGTGCTTTTATTTTTCTGTGGCTAAAATGTGCCCCAGGTTCCAGGTCTTCGCTTTCAGCTTGCTCTGTGTCTTATCTTGTGTCTATTTTATCTTTTCCTCACCCTCCCCTCCCCAAGTGGGGACTTTGGTCCCTTATCCGAGACCTGCTCAATATCTTAGCAAGCTTTCTCTTCTATATACTTGTATTCCTGTTACTGTTACACACATTTATTTTTCTTTCTGAGTCACAGTAAAGCTGTCCTGGTATCATTTATATACTATGTTCTCTCTACACTTTGGTTTTGGCAAAAAGCTATGCTCAGACCTCTAAATTTTATATTGATATTTGGAAAGGAGGTCTTAAAATGTAGACAAAAATTAACACCAAAGTCGACTATCTTCTGGTAGATTAAAAAAAATCTAATTTGAAACTCAAAATTAACCAATAAATACTTTATTTAGGCTGAATTTAAATTTCCTCTGATACAATGCATTATCAGTGAATATGGAAAATTATTTGGAATAGAATTCTACTGCTTTATCTGCAAAAATATTACCTCAATTGCATCCTATCCCAGTAAAACACTATTTCCTTAAAAAAGACAATCTTATGCCATTTTGTACTAGAAGTTGAAAGCTAAGTATTGCCCAACTTGACTTTTCTATCACTTGCCATTTCTCCATCTGAACACTAGAGGACATTAGTCTTACCCTAGAACAGTGATTATCAGTGATTTTGAATTTGCATCAGAATCACCTGCAAGGCTTGGTGAAGAAAATTCCTGGGACCTAGTCTCAAAGTTTCTGATTCAGTAGGTCTGCAGTGGGCCCAATAATATTCATTTCCTTCACTAGTAGCCATGCCAGCAGCATAGGGAAATCTTTCCTTAAGCAGTTATGCATCATTTTACTGATTCAAGAAGAATGCAGGTGTCCTCACATCCTAAATAACGACAAGACTCTTCTCTGACTTCCCAAGACATCTCGAGAGTGATTTAGTGTCCACCTTACCAGCAGCACATTTTCGTTTTGGCCTGGTTATAGAGGCAAATCTTTTCCTACAAAATCCAACTTCTTTGGTCCAGAGAATAAATTTTCTGTAGATCAAAACACCTAGGGATTGAGCTGTGAAAATTTGTATTCTGTAACTGAAAAGAGGTTCCATATTTTGAAAGTTCAAATTCCAAGAATAAAGTTTAAAGGGTGTTTTCTATGTCTTTCCTTTTCCTTTCTTTTTTCCCCCTTTTTTTCTTTTTAAGATTTTCTTTATTTATTTGACAGAGAGAGAGAGAGAGAGAGAGAAGTCAAGGAGGGGGAGTAGCAGGCAGAGGGAGAAAGAGAAGCAGATTCTAGCTGAATGGAGAGCCCACACAGGGCTTGATCCCAGGGCCCTGGGAGAATCAGATGCTTAACCAGTTGACCCACCCAATCTCCCCTTCTCCCTTCTTTTCCCTTCCTTTCCTTTCCCTTCCATTCCTTCCCCTCCCCTTCTTTTCCTTCCCCTCCCCTTCTCTCCTCTCCCCTTCTCTCCCCTCTCCTTCCCTCCCTTCCTTTCTCCTCACATCCCTTTCCTTTCTTTTCCCTTTTTTCCCTTTGTCATTTCTTCCTCTGCTTCCCCACCCCATAACCTGATTCTTCCTTAGCATGATATCTTATTTCCCCCCAAGGGTCATGACCTTGGGTTCAAATGACTAGGCTTCTATTTCCGCCCCCAGAAACTAGTAATGCCTCTGTAGTGCCAGTATAAATCCCTGTAAGTAACAGGTCTGGAATGTCTTCATCTCTATTGTCCAGTGGTAGCTAAGGTCTTTCCCTTTGTATCATTCTAATTTCATAAACCCGCTAGTGTTATTCAAAAGACTTTCAAGAAGTCTGGAAGTAAATATTGAAACATGGTGTTGGTCAATTGGATGGAGCTCTGAAAAATAGCGCAGCATAAGTGAGAATCACTTCCCTGAGATGATTCATGAGCAACCTGCGGGAAGTTGGTTAGAAGTATAACCTACATGACTCTTCAGTCCAGCATACATGAAGCATGTGCTCGAGTGGGAAATGA